AACCGTACCCGGTACCTAAATAAGATATTTTAAGTAATACAATTATTTTTAAATGTGTTCGGGTACTTTTTAAACATTTAAAATTGCTTATTAAATTAGTTTAATCAGAAATCGAACACTGGATCAGCAATAACGATAATATAGGTAGTTAGTTAAACTATAATAATTTGTCTTAAGGCAGTGAAATTGACCTACCTATACAATAGGTACCTACTCAATAGTATAAAATGTTCTAAAAAGTAGTTTTTCAGACTTAAAAACTATCTTGTGGATTGTAAACTACTATGATATGATAAAAGCATATTATATAAAGCATGTTTCACAAGAAGGTAGTTTATTATATAGGTTGTTATTTTCTAGATAGGTACGTGTGAATTATCAAATACATACTACTGTCAGGGTCCAGGGACGCATTTACTATTTGCCTACACGGAATAGGTACTATTGCCCGTGGTGGTAGAATTGGAGAATTTTGCTTTCTACTGTACTTATAAAAATTTACATTTTGTATTTATGTGCGTACCTACCTGTATAGGCCGTAGTTTGTCTGAAAAAATTGTTTTCAATTTATTTTATAATAATAAATTATGAATTATTATGTCAGTGGTTAACCGCAACAAAGAAACATATCAACGTACCTCCTCCTGTATAGTTAGTTCTAATTCTTGTCGATTGTCTACCCAATTATCAATGTTGACCCACATATTTCATATACTTCTAAATTTATAATTATGGATATTATTTTTATTTTCCTAATAATGTATCACGATATCGTTATATCGTAAATCGACAATGATATCAATATTGATACCTATGTAATAGGCAAGCAGTAACCCAAACAAATATTAAATAGTAGTTTACCAATTATTTAAATTAATTTAAGAAATTATGAATTATGAATATAAATAAAAACAAAGTTATTTACATGGCTTTAATGTTTTTTTTTTTAATGAATTAGTTCATGATTAGTTCCTGATTAGTTCTTAATTCTAAATAGGTACACCATACCGGTCGCGCGTCGAGCGACAAGGAACAAATAAAAAATATTACATAAGTTACAATATAATTATTAACATCGTGTTAATCGTTTCTGCTAAATGCTTATTGACAATCGTTTGCCATTAGTTAATAGGTATATAAGTATAGGTATTACACATTTTATTTTTAAGTAAGTAACTGCCAACTTGTTAAGTATTTTTCTTTAGCGATATCTTGATATTTTTCCTTTTATATCGATAGAAAAATAGACAATTAGACGTATGATTTTAGAAGTAGGTTTTAGATACGACGTTACAAGTTGTAAATAGGTACCTATATACGTATATTGTAATCCCAATGTTTAACTCAAGAATTGAGAAGTTTAAGAGAACATATTTTTACACTCTCTATACCGAACCCTTAGTCGACGGACGACGACTGACGAACAAATTGATATAATAACTTACTGGCTACTGTAAATGTGTACGAGTTTATGATATATAAATATGTTACACACGCGTAGCATGCGGGCTGTGTACGTCGTGGTTGACGTTCGTCGATATGGTATTCCTATTGTTGTTGGAGCAATGACTATAGTGAGCGCGTTTACAATGCGTAATAAAAAGATGATCATAACAAGAATAAAAGACAAAAAGAAAATCTGACGACGCGTACCTGCAGGCTACAGTTGAGTACAGTTGTGTGCTGTTGGGCTCAAAATGTGGACGACCGGAGTAAAAAACATCTCTGTTTGGAGGCCCTGAATAATATTGTAATGACGTTATTATTATTACGACAACTACCTATACACATACCTACTATTATTGTACATGATAACATACAACGGGTGTGGGCATGGGCGGGCGGTGAACCCGAGGTTGAGAATAATTATTCTTCGTGTTTTAACTGGAATCCGTTAAGAAACGAAACCACCTGTATGCGCGCGATCGTCTCGGCGTACGTGTAGGTCGTGTTCGAGATAAAAAAAATAAATAGAATTTAGGTAGGAGGCACGCACCGCCGACGCCGCGACTTATCCCACCATGGTCTACCACTACTCCTGTCTCCGAAACTCGGCTCGTCTCTCCGCTCCATTCGTTTTATTTATTATTATATTCTCTGTCGTAAATTGTCGTAATGCGGAGTTCTAAATTGTAGACGGCAGTCAGTATATCAATGGTACGCAACGTCGTCCGTACGCGCGTTCTCGCCACACTACAGATCACAACGCACCAATATTTTGTGTAGTTTTTTATACAGTCTTAAACGGAAAACGATTGATAATCTCGAATCTGGTGACCACAATATTACTGATTAATCGTTTATTAAGACAATCGTCTAGGTATTCTTTCACTTGTTTGACCCGAGGACGGTATTATATTTATTATTATTATTGTATTATATATTATATTATAAACACCAACAAATTCGAAATATTGTCACGTAAATCGCGGCATTGGTCATCGTTGCGGAGGAAGGTGAGGAGGTACACGCACGCAGCAGGTATATTATACGCGGACGGTTAATCTTCCTAGTGCGCATGCGCGCGTAGTGTGCACGCCCGTCAACGGAACGCGCAGTGTTGTGAGTCGTCGCCGGCAACCGTTGTGCTTGACGCTTGAGCAGTGTGTGCCGCGTACGTGTATGTAACAGGTGCGAAACACGTCTTCAACGAACAAATTTTATCGTCCGCTGCTGCTGACGGAATTCGGAGAGAGTTGCTAACGGGTAATGTTTGTATATTATATTATTATATTCAATTCGTTCATCCCTGCCGTTAGAGTTTACCATTTAGTTGTTACCGATGACGAGATTTTCATGTCATTGTTATACGTCGAAAGCGTATTAATTTTTTAGACTCCTCTCCCCTCTCATCCACACGACCCCACCCTGCTACGCTCGCGTGATTTATCCGGTACAATTAGGTAGATACATCGAAAAGATATTTTTATTCTCTTATAACCAATCAAATACAGTTTGGTTAATGTTATGTCACGTTATCGACTATCGTGCTGCAGAAACAATAACAGTGGCGCTTAAAATGTCAGTGATTCTGGAGAATATAATTATTATTATGCCCGTTGTACGTATATTGATGGTCCACGACAGATCACCGCATCTTTTGAGATTTATGCAATTCCCTTCGGCCTTTGCTGCGGACCTCTATTGAGTAAATAAACGGTGTTACACTTACGTATATGGTATTAAATCGAAACAATATCAATTTTATAACATCATCACCTCAAACAACGTTAAAATCTCCATGTACGCGACCTACCTAGAGACTATTGGATAACGCCTACAACTGTATGCAGTACCTATGCAAATGAGTCGCATATTATATTTAACAATGTTACCATATATTTAGCCCTAATAGCCCTATTCGTGAACTGTTAGGTACTTAGGTACCTAAATCGTATATGCATTATGCAGTATGCACCTATACCTAGGCTAAAAGTTAATACATTTCAATAATTTATTTTATAATTATTTTTCAGAAAATATATTTAAGTGCTTCATCTGAATAATTATATAAACATTATTATTATGTATAGGGGGACCAAGTATTGTCGGCGATATATCATGTCGAAATTGATTTACGTGAGTATACGCCGTTGCGCCGGGGCCCCGACCAATCGAGAATAATCAAAAATACACCCTTATAATTTTTTTTAATAAACCATTTTAAACTTTTAAACACGTATTTACTAAGTTAATATTACAAACTTATAAATTTAAACAAAAATTGGTGTCATAAATAATAAATACCGTAAAATGTTTCGTATGTAGCTTAATATAGTACAATACTTAACAAATGCCTATAATATGTCTGCAGTGTTAAGCAGTGGCGGCGTGAACTATTTTATTTCATGAGGCAAATATAGAAGCTAGAGGTTAACCACCACCACCTAAATTTCATTACACAGACCCGTGGGGGCTATGCCCCCACACCCCCAATTTACAATTCTGCAACAACAATATACTTTATCGGGGTGGCTCTGAATTAAAGTTTTAAGTAAAAATAGTAAAATTACTTATGTTTATGTTCCTCATACCTCATATAAATTATTATGATAACCATCATTATTTTGCTAACCATGAATCTAAGGAAACAATTACTGGACTAACAACTCAAATACCGAGCCAAATGAACATATGACTAATAATCAAAAAAATATTATATCTGTCTAATATATCATAAATCAATAATCATACATATTATATAAATACTAAATGATAATTATAAATTATGTTATTAAATTGTTACCTATTGGCTATTGCTTACCTACTTCATAGTGGTTTTAGAAAACAACACGAATCAATTCTCAAATCAATCTATACCTATCAATTTGAAGCGTATATAAATACAGGTATAATTTTATTATATAAATATTAAATACGTAGTATGTAAAGAATTAAAGAAAATATGTTTAATCTTAAAATAAAAACCGTTTTTTTCATTTTTTTAAACAATTTGAAAAAAATGTTTCACGGAGCTATTGGTAATTTATGTAACTATCTTCAAATGTTTAAAAGAAGTGATTTGCATGTATTATCTATTTTATACACTGAGATCAGAGAGGTGTTTAGCTTACGTTTAGCTATAACGTAAACCGAAAATACCTATATTTCTCTAATAAACAATTTAAACATTTAAATAGGTACCTACCGTTATTAAAATTGTATCCTGTAATATTAGAGTATCTGAGTATACTGTTTATAACAATCTTATTAATGTTACACCTTAGTACCTTACACAGTACGAGTACCTAACCAATCCATTTCTCGACAATGTAACGTAGAGTGCCTAATATTTACCCATGGTATGTTTGTCGTATGTGAGTATGTGACTATGTGAGTGTAAATTATAAACTAGGAGTCAATGGGATACCCACCCACCCCACTTTTGCATGAGGCGGCCGCCTCATAAAATAGTTATTCACGCCGCCACTGGTGTTAAGTGCACACCTGTTCGTCACCAGCTCCTCAGCTCCTCCTTCGTTGCTATACCTACTATATTATCAATGTTGTAAACTTGTAGACAATTTCTGGTGTTGCTTACGTCGAAAATCGTCGTCGTCACTACGAGCGAACCCGAAGTAGTGCCACAGCTCTTTCAGAGTGATTACTTGTACTTGCTTACTCTTCGACAAGGTGAGGTAGGGCAAGACATCGTCATGTAAATGTGGCAGCGGTTTTTTTACGTGAACCCTAAACGCGTCGTCCATCTGCATTTTGTATTCTCGTTGTTGTTACAGCTTTAAAAGGACGTTGTATCCACATAATATGCCGACTCCGTCTAACTAATGCATAGCATCAAATTGTACGTTGAAGTATCCATTTTATTCTGTTATTTTTAATATTATTTAGAATATTTATAAATTTAGACTTATTATTAAATTTAAAAACAAGTATATTATCTATAGAACATTTTATGTAATTTTAAAGCAAGTTATGAAAATTTTAAAATATACAAATGTCTTAGATAATATTCATACCTTTAAATTTTAGAACAGATCTAAATTCACTGTAATTTCTTATAAAAAAACATAGGATGGATGCATTGGTAAGACTGAGTCAAAACAGGCGGGTATGACCATATATTTATACAATAGATATATTATTGATCGTAATGGTATTTTAATTTTTCATTAGACACAATAATTCAAAATAAGTAATAATACAAATGTGTTTGTATTTTGGTAATAATAATTACCTATTATAAACTACATAAATAAAGAGTATGTATTAAGTATTTAAGTATAGTATCAATATTAGGTAACTAAAAGTGTTATAATATATAATATCGAAGAGATGGATTATTTACAAGTTGCAATGTACATTTAGTGTCAATTATTATAATTTATGGGTACATTATAGGTGTTGTGTTTCACTATACTTCTACCTATTTCTTTTATCCGATGTTCCCTATTATGTGAAGAGTCGACCAATCATTATATATTTTATAAGCATTGGCGCAAATAGGAGGGCTTGGGGGGGCTTAGTCCTGCCAAATGTCGATCAAGTCCCCCCAGTTCAAAATAAAGTAATTAGTACTAATTTTTATATTCTGTGGTACTAAGCAATATGGTGTATGGGGATTGGGGAGGGGAGCCTAAGTCCCCCCCCCCAAATAATTAGTCAATTTGTGCCTATGTTTATAAAGTATACTCAACTTTTCAGAGATAACAATTCCAAAGGCTGCGCAAATTTAATAGAGCTATTAATTAATAATTATTATATCAATGTATTCTTAACAGGACACTGTATATTATATTATTATAGAGTGCTGCGTGTATCGTCATCGTGTCCTCAAACATTGTCCTTGTTATGTTTTTTTTAACGAATTCATTCTATGTTTTTCATAGTAATTTGAATAAACACGCGTCATTCTGCTTTCAATCATAGTAATATGTATTAAAATTTGTAGTATAGTGACGCGATTGATACATCTATTATTATGACATATTATGTGTGTATTGTAACAATTATGTAGCCTCAGTTCGACATTTCTTCTTCAAACACGATGTTTTACTGTTTTACAAGGTTCTGTGAAATTGTCATGCACTCGCAATTCATATTTCTCCCCACTTGTTTCGCGGGCTGAAATTAACTTGCAGGACGCCGCGTTCTTTTGTTCCTTATGGGTGTGTCATATTCTATTTAATAATATTATATAAATGTAGAGATCGTCCGCCGTTACTTACGGACATAACAATTATAATATAAATTAATTTTATTAGTCGACTTGAGCATTAACCCCCACCTATATCATTAAAAATTGGCCAATAACTACTGCTCCTACAGTGCGTGCGAAAAACTATACAACGCTTACAAGTTACAAATGTCATTCATCAGATTCGTTGTCAATATATTCTAAAGACAAATTATATAATATTTTAGTCGGAGTAAATTATATGACACTTTAGGCCAATGCAGCCAATAAAAATGGGTTTACTACATAATATATACGGAAATATGAATCTTGGAAAAAAAAGCCAACTTATTTACAAAAATTAAAACACATAATAATATGCTAAATGTAATGACTCGCGTAGGTCATGCTTGCATTACTGACTACTGTGTGGTATGCTTGTACAGTATTGCACATATTATAGTTTGTTTACAATTTTTGAGTTGTGCTGTTTAATTTCGTTGTATTACATTTGTTGGTGTAATAAAAAATATATTGTCAAAAACTTCCTTTTACATGTTTTGTGGACGTATAAATATCATAATATTACCATGGAAACTAACGTCATTGTATAATTGATAATTTACTTTGAATAAAATGATATCCATATCTATAACAGACTACCTAGGTACTGAACTCTGTAGTAGTACATACGACTATTAAAAATATTTATTATATTCTTTCTTAAAATTATTTCATCATTGTTAAAATATAATATAATATAATAATTACTCTTTGAAATCATGTGGAAAGTTAATGTCATTACTCGTTTTGTTGTACAGGTTCAAAACTCTTTGGAGGAGTACGAAACGTGTGTACCAGAAGCCAATAACTCTAAGCAAACCTTGATCGATTTGTGTCATCACTGTACATCGTCAAAACATCCAGTGGCCAAAGATTTACTCTCAATAATTACCAAATTACATTTTAAGGTCAGTTTCAATTATTACAAAAATGTGTATTGATCTTTTCTAAATGTTTAATGTTATATTTAGACCCTTTTAGAAGTACATGATAAAATAGCTTTAAAGAGACTGAAGAAAACATTAGATACCTTCGATTTACCTCCAACTCCACCCTCACCACCTCAACAACAGAACGGAACCAAAATGTCTACACAGACGTACAAAGTAATTGGATTACGAAAAAAACCAGACGAACCATTGGTGAGTGTTAAGTCACATGTACCTACTCGTAATTGTTTTATTATACCCGTACATAATAAAATGGTTTAGAAATTCAACAATAGAGCCAAAACTATAAAGTTAGATTAATATTAAAGATAATTCACTTAGTCTCAAATTTAAAAACGTTATTTTTGATAATTATTATTGGCGTAAAATATAATATATATATTTTTTCACTTTAACCAAGGTAAATATTATAAAAAAGTAGGTGTTTAGAATAAGAAATTTAATCTCTCCTTTATTATATAGGTACCACATTAAATAAAAATATTGCATATGACATTCTCGTTTTAGCTATATTTAAATTTTAATAGATCAATAAGGTCCAATATATAATGTGTAAGCCTACAGTTTTTGTTTTACATGTATTAACTTTTATGTATTTATGAACGAATAAGTGAGATAGAGGGAGGGAGAGTAAATTAGTAGGTGTATGACTTCTTTCTTAGACATAAACTTATAAATAATATTAAAAATAATTTATCCATTTTATACAGTACTTATATAAAAAATATAAAATGCAAAACTCTTCATACAGGGTTTAACTGTTGAACAAGACGAAAATGGAAATCTTATAGTAGCAAGAATATTAGCTGGAGGTACAATTGATAAACAAGGGTTATTGAAAAAAGGAGATGTCATATTAGAAGTAAATGGTGAAAGAGTTGAAAGTCCTGAAGATTTATTGAACGAAGTTAGCCGTAGCAAAGATACATTGCAGTTTCGAATTGCTCCTGGATTTTCCCAAAAGAATACATTGCAAACTCAACAGGTAAGCTTAATAATGATTCCCGTTTGTTCATACTAACTATTTACTAATTTTAATTTTGTTTTTATTTATTTGTAGTGTTACATGCGAGCATTGTTTGATTACGACCCAATGGAAGATTCTTTAATTCCTTGCAAAGAAATTGGTCTAACGTTTAAACATGGAGACATTCTTCAGGTTAGTTTTATGAAATAAAATACTCATTGATTTTTAATAATTATTGTTAGGAAACCAAATGGTTAATAATTGGTATGCTATATTTTGTATGCATAAATATAGGTTTTGGATCAAAAAGATCCAAACTGGTGGCAAGCAAAGAAAGTTGGCGATAATGAACTTCCCGGGTTAATACCATCTCAAGAATTAGAGGAAAGAAGAAAAGCTTTTGTAGCTCCAGAAGCAGACTATGTTCATAAAACTAGTATTTGTGGAACTAGGGTAATCTATTAAATATAATTACAGTGTATTCTCAGTAACTCGAAGCTCTCGGGGGAAAAAAAATTTGCTTTCTAAAAATTTTGAGTAATCAAAATCTTAATATATTATTGTTATATTAAGAAGAATTTAATTTGTTCAAGATGTCGAGAATTTAGAATATGAAGGTTTAAGTTACCAAGAGTACACTGTATTATTTATTACTAGGTTTACATTTTAATTTCAATATTATAGAGAAAGTATAAACTATAGACTAAAACTATAAATTATTTTATAAAGTTGTTATTTTTAGAACCTATAAGACTTAATATATGATTGATCTGAACACATTAATGTATGATTTAAAACAATACAAAAATCATCAAAATTTCAAATTGTAATTTATATTTTAATAATTCTTACTACCCCACCTAAATGGTTTTTAATTATTCCTATTAGGTCCATCATAAGTTATATTAAGTTTGTAATCTGATAATAATATTAAAAAATTTACTTTAGATTTCTAAAAAAAAGTGTAAGAAAATGTATCAATCAAAGTGGAACGGTGAATTTGATAAAGCAGAATTAATATTGTACGAAGAAGTTACAAAAATGCCTCCTTTTAAGAGACGTACACTTGCAATAATAGGCACAACCGGTGTGGGAAGACGTACACTGAAAGGTCGTCTGATAAACAGTGACCCTCAAAGATTTGCAGGAGTTATACCATGTAAATACAGTTTTGAAATATATTTATCTTATAATTTTACATCATTAAACAATAGAAGTTATTGAAATGATTTCATATTATTTGTATATGTTTATTTGGATTATATTTGTAGACACAACACGACCACAGAGAGAATTAGAAGAAAATGGTCAAAATTATTGGTTTACTGATCGTGATCAAATGAACAGGATATTCGAGAGCATAAATTTTGGAATATGGTGAAAATGGTGGCAATTTATATGGCACAAACTTGGATTCCATCCGTGATGTCATTAATGAAGGAAAAATGTGTGTCTTGGACTGCAGTCCCAGTGGTGTGTAGAATATAGGTTCTTCATTTACTTGTTTTAAATTAAATTCATCAAATGCAAGTAATTTATTGTTATATTTATGTTAATTATTTTTGAACAATATGTTTTAGGCTTTAAAAATGCTTCACAATTCTTCAGAATTTATGCCATACGTAATTTTCATAGCAGCACCTGGTGTTGAGGTAATGAAAAGCCTATACGATTATTCCAGAAACCTTGGTTATTCCACTCGTACATTAACGGTAAGTAAAAAGTGTGTAAAAGCATAAATAGATATATCTTTTCTCACATCTAGCTGTAGTATGACTTAATATTAACTTTTGTCATTATATTAATATTATAGTACCTATATATATATTTTTATTTTATTAATTTAGTTTGATCGCCAAAGTTCCATTAGATATAGTTCTAGAAGAGCCCGTACATTAGAATCGCTTGCGTCGATTTATGAGGTAATTATTATTTAAATCAGTAAACAACCAGAATTAAACTAGACTAAGAGAATAATTTTATAATTTTAAGGTAGTCAGATCTTCTTTAAACAAAGTTGTTTTTAATATTTTATCCTTTTGTAGCTATTCTAAGGTGTAGTATTAAAAAATACCATTTCATGGTTAAGTTTAAAATTAACTGAATTAAATTTAGTGTAATACTACCTTGTGATCTAAAATCAAACATTAAAAACTGTTAGTTATATATAATTATGCAATTAGTTAAATACAAATGGTAATAATAATAGTAGTATAATTATTTATGTGTTCTAAATAAAATTCACTTTAATATAATGAATTAGGATTATCTTAACACCAACCAAAATATAATTTATAATTATTCCTACAGACCTAAGTTATCCAGTGTATGGCACTATTGTTGCCTCAAACTTTGGAATTTTTTACATTATTATCACTATATTTTATCATATTTGTAATTGCAGATACTAATACATTTTTAACTTAATTTTAATTTTTAAGATGATAAAATAATAAAATAAATTTTATTCATTAAATATTGTTAAATGTTAGTTGATTTATTGACTAAAAATTAACCAAAACTCGTTAGTTTGAAGGGGATTCGATACCGTGATTTTTTGTTTTTGTCTAACACACGGGCGACATAGTATTTTAGACGTGTTTTTTGCCAAACATTCCAATTGATCTATTGAAGCGATAAGATTTCTGAAAACAGATTTGAATTTGTCGTCAAGTCTACTTGAAATCGACTTTCCCACTTTTTTGATTTTAACTTCTCCAATAATTTAAATACCAGAATATTTTAATATGACATTTTAAAAAATTTGGTGGATAATATCAAAAATGTGGGAATGTCAATTTCAAGTACACTTGACGACAAATTCAAATCTGTTTTCAGAATTCTTATCGCTTCATTAGATCAATTGGTATGTTTGGCAAAAAACATACTATGTAGAGCGTGTGTTAGACAAAAACAGAAAATCACGGTATCGAATCCTCTTAATAGTAAATGATTTAAATCATAGACAAATATTTATATGATTAAATATGTACCATACATTCAATACATTGAATATTTAATATGTAATATCATATTCTCATTGAAAAATTATAAAACTTATTTAGTATTTTACGTACTCTATGAAACTGCCCAGGCTTTTCATGGCTGAAAAGAAATATTTTTTCAGGACATGTTAATATAATCAAATAATAAATAAAATATAGAATTTTTTTTAAATTTCATTAAAATGTTTTAGGAAGATGACGTAAAGAAATCATTGGAAGAAAGCGCCTGTTTACAACGTATGTACGAAAAGTACATAGACCTAGTTATAGTTAATGAAGATTTTGATATGACATTCCGTAAAGTTGTTGAAGCCTTGGAAATCATATCTAATGAACATCAATGGGTGCCTGTGAATTGGGTATACTAAGATTAAAAAGTGTTTCATCCCTGTTGTTTTTAAAAGAGTTGGTAGAATACATTTAAGATGTGTAACCTTTTTCATACCTTGATCACAAAACACTATACAATCATAAGTTAAAAAAATATAACGTATAGACTAATGGTTATAATAGCATCATATCATTTTGTGTTAATTTAGTTTATATTATTAACTAAGCATACAATTGTATTTACCAAGTAATTTGATTACTTGGTTATTGTTAAGTTCCTTCAACTAATCATAGCATTGATTTATTATGATTGTGAATTCCGTCCTTTTTTGAACTATTATAATTGACAATTTTTTTTTTTAATATTAGCAATTTTTATAATAATATACACTGCATTAATGAAATTCATTATATTTTTTTTTCCATCAAATGTAAATTTTACTTTTGTATGGTTGTATAGTAAATAAATTAACAATTTTGATTATATATAATATACAAATTATCTCACGAGTTTGATTTAAAAACCTTTAACATTTTAAAATACTATATTTAATTTACTATTTTAGATTATGTACATACTTATCTGATTTAGTATAAAAAAATACTTGTAATTTGCTTTCTATTTTCATAAATTTTATGCAAGTGTGATTTTTAAAATTGGCTTAGTTTTTTGTTTAATTAAACAATAAACTACCAAAAAAATTGAGCTTCACTCAGAACTGTCAAGTGCTTTATAATTGGAGATTGAGTGTAGTGTGCTTTTAAAATTGTATAAGCTTACAGATTAGAGAGTTTGGATTGGGTGTTGTTTAGGTTAGATAAAAAAAAGAGATTCATTACAAATTTAATAGTTCTGAATTCAGTTGGTAAAATCTTATAGTTTAAATATGGCAACTTATTTAAAATTTTATAATTATATTACTTGTAGGTATATGAATTAAAAATAAACCTCTGATAACCTATTGAATAGGTATTTATTATTAAATAATACAATTTTTTATTTTTATTGTCAACCCAAACTGTATACTGTATAGATACTAGTTTTAATTTAAGAATTAATTAATTTATCAATAAGGTTATTTATTTTTTCTTGTATGTTGCAAATAATTAAAACAATTAATTTTTTTTTTGAAAGAAAATATTAGAACTGAATATTGTGTTCATTATTCATTAAAAATTGTAATAACTAATTATATTTATACATGTTGTTGTTATAATAGTGGTATGTAACAAACAATTGTATTTGTTAATTAAATAATTTTTTCTACATTAATAAAATGCACACATGTAAATTGAACATTTGCCATTTTATTCAGCTTTGCACTATTAATATTTTGTATTTAGTATTATGAATATCTGTACTTTTTTCACGGCCTTAATGTTTTACTTATAAACTTACACATAATAATAAAGTAGTATACAAATATTGTGCAATCTTTACGTGTATACAATATAAATATATTTATACATTTACATTAGACGTCATCTTTACTGATTTAATATGTAATAATATTGTAGACTATAGTTTAATTTATGATATATCATACCATATTACCATTATAAGTATTATGATTTAGGTAGGTAGGTAATAACTTCAATCATAAGGCATACCTACCTATTAATGTTTAGTTATGTACCCTCATAGATTGTTAGAAAAGTATACTATTTGTGGAACAAAACTAATTTAATTAATTAATTAATTATATTTTGTAATATATACATCCCGTCCAACATTGTAATCTCATATTTTTATTTATTACCTATATATTTAATAAAGACATATTTTATGTATTGTTCAATTTTTCAAATAATTGTTTACTTTTATTAATAATTGTATAATAATAGTACAATACGATTATATAACATTATGTATAATAATATCATAGTATGATAATATAAATATATATTTTGAAAATATTTTAGGTTTTAACACTTATAATTACATAGTTTATGTTAATTGTTTAGTGTCTAATGTAGTTACAGTGCCATTGTTGTGAGCCACATGGTACTCAATCGAGTAGCAATAATGAATAAATTAAGATAAGAGTAAAAAAATCCTTTATTATTCATATTTATATTTAAACAGTAAAATAGTTGTTATAGTAGGAATTGAATAAAATGTAATTCCAATGGTCAAACAAAATATTCTAAGTACAAAATAATAATAATAATGTCTCTGAAATATCCCAATAATAATACAATTATTCCATGTCCTAGGCTAGAACACTATTCTACAAGTGCTATTTAACAATTTATTGCATGTATAGGTGGCATGATGCTCAGACTCGGATACCAAATAATTGAAGGTGTTAGCTGACATTTTTTGTAAAATCGTTATTATAATACAAAACGATGCATCATGACATATTGCATAGCCTATACAAATATCAGAACAAAATAACATTAATTTATGGATATATCAAATTGGTAAAGGTGTTATTTATACAATCTGTCGTTCTTGTTTTGTGGATTAAGGTGTTATTGTATTATTACCCCTATTATCATATGAATAGATAACATTTATAATAAAATTTATAAAATTACAGAGTATTGTTTATGACTTTAAAATACATAATTTTTGTTTTCAAAAATTTCTTAGCATTTGAACAGTTAAAACGTTTATATAATTAAACAACTTACACTGTCCTCCTGAATAATTTCAAAATTATGAATTAACACCTTCATCCACTAACCCTTTCAATTAACTCCATGAACAAGAAACCCTCTTATATTCCTATTTGCAGTTTGGTGTTCAATATTTTCTTTTTTGTTGTAATTTATTGAAAATTTAATACAAGACTTCTAATATATTGTTACAATGGCAGTGGAAATTATTAAAAATACTTAGTCACAATTTTATTTTATAACCATTTAAAGTTCGGATTTTGACAAAAAAGTTGAAAAAACGTAAAAATCATGAAAATGATGTGCAAATTATTTTGAGTAAGAAATTCATAAAAATTTTTCTTTTTAAATATAAGATTTAAAAATGTAATACAAGCATCCTTATAAGTTTTCCCACACTTCTTCTGCCAAGCTGAAGTCGACGTCGGTTCAAATTATCAGCCAATTTAGGTTCTAATTTTAACATTCCTAGTGGCTAATTTTTTAGCGTGTGTTACAGTATTGCGTGTTATTGCTCATATTTAGATAAAAAGTCAACATAATAGTAGTACATAACTTATGTAGGTATCTACAATCTACTGGCTAATACCTACCTATTTAACTTTAAAATTATTTCTAATTATCATTTATCAGTCTCAATTACAAGTTACCTATAACTTATAGTTATATTTACAAAAAACTAACTAAAATAATGTTAGGTAGGTATATATGAAAGGTACTTATGTTGTTATATTTTTGTACATAAAACAATGTAGGCAAATATAGTTTAAATAAGTCACAATAATTTGTCATATAATAATTTTACAAAGTGTACAATAGGTAGAGTGAAACTTCCATATAACGAACTTCTATTTAACGAAATTCTCTATAGAACCTACAAATTTGTTTTGTTCCCCATGATACTTTGTAGCTCGTAATTATGTACGTACAATGTACCTATTAAGCACATATATCTACATATAACAGATACATATATTGCTGAGTAAAAGCTTCATCAACCAACAAACATTTAAACATGGTAGGTAGGTACCCTATACCTACCTACTTTGTATAATATTTACTGGCTATTACAATGTACAGTATAAATGTATATAATTAGTAAATTCTCAACAATTAAAAATTAAGGTTAACAATAAAATTAAAAATATAGATATACTTTGCATCACTTAGTGAAATCAATATTTTCATGAACTTTCCAGAAAGTGAAGTTCATTTAGAATCTTGATCGTGAATTTTAACGAAGTACCTACATAGACGTGAATACATATTTTCTTGTACACTTGTCAGTTTGTGTAATTATAATTTATTAGACATTTATTATAGACATATTATTGTAAATTGTAATATATATGAATATATCTATATCTATATGTACCTATATTGTTTAATGAACAAACCTATATTTTATAACATTATATTAGATTCTGAGCGAGGAAGCTATAGTGGTATTACAATGGTATTTATTTTTTTTTTTATCCTGTATACAAAATTTCTAACAGAATAAAGGCTTCGATTTTAACATATAGTATCTTATCTTTTAGCAAATTGGATCAAGATGGTACTTTAAAAAGGTCATTTTTCGATTTTCTCAATAATTATTTAATGCCACGGGAAGAACCACCGACCAATTACAAAAACTGGGATTTTAATATCTAACGCTTTGTCTATCACCATAGAAACGAATAAATAATAATAATATTTTGCAGGCTATAACAATATAAAATATCCAGACTGACAAATCGTCTCCGCTCAGAATCGTTTTTCTTATACCTACAATTATATTATATCATTGAATTCAAGTTTAATACAATCCATTATACATTGACCCACTTGTAACCTACTGTACAGCAGAGCGACATCCACTTGACTACTTACCCGCTTCTTTATTAAATAAAATTTTTATTTTTATTAAATGTAATATTTATAAATGAGTTATGAGACTGATAAAAATTATAAATTATTTTTATTTTATAAACAATTTCATGATGCCGACTTTTGCATTGCCTACTTGGCCTGCTCTAATATGAAATTCTATAATTCAATCAAAGAAAGCGGATAAATGGATTTCGCATTGCTGTACATTAGGTTACCAGTGGATCACTGTATAATGGATGGTATTAAATTTGAATTCAATGATATAATATTATTGTTATTATTATTAATACGGTACCTAGCTGGCAAGTTAAATTATTATTATACAATTACACCAAAATAACTTAAAATCGTTATTCTTGGTTATTTAATATTATGTAATTTCATCCAAATCTGAACATAAAAGCTTTGCTTGCTGAAGTTGAAGAAAATCTAAGCATTTTAACTGTCCTAAAAGGCAAGGCTGGGCATTAACGAGTTAACAAGTTAAAAGTTAAGTTATTTTCAACTAATTACCTTAACTTACTAGTTCACTGTTTTA